TGGAGCCCAGCGGGAGGGCTGCGGTTTTACGTGTTGGAGCTGGGCAGAAGACGCTTTGGTGTCCCCTTAGGCGAACTGGGGCAGGGCAGAGCCCTTCTGGTGACTGCTTTGAAGGGAGGTGTCAGGGGAGCAGCCACTGTTCTGCTGCCCAGCACAGCTGTGCTTGAAGTAACCGTACCCAAACCAAAGGGTACAGAACTGAGCTGTCTTCCATCAGTTGAGAAGTTTGTTCTTGGGTAGGACGACTAAAGGGGGGAAAGGAATGGTATAGCCACCATGTGGAAGTTTGTTTATTATTATAGACTCAGACAAGTACTTAATCATTTACTTTTCACTTCTTTGTGCAGCTGGGCTCAGTTAATGTCAAGAGATGTCAACTCCCCCTCTCGCCGGGGCAGGCATGCCACCTGGGGCATTCTCGGGCACACAGGCTCAAGCAGCTAGGGAGGTAAACACAGCTTCTCTCTGCCGCATTGGCCAAGAGACTGTGCAGGACATAGTATTTCGAACCATGGAAATCTTCCAGTTACTGAGGAACATGCAGGTGAGAAATAACTTTTTCTTTTTACAGTGCTCAACTTCACATGTTCTTACCACCAGCTGGCAGTAAATGTAGGCACAGGAGGTAGCTTAAGACATTTAAATACATAACTCAATCAGACTGCTTTGAAAAGGGGAATTGATTGGAGAAGTGTCTACTACTCTTAATATATTTGCTTCTGTACATTAAATGAATGTGGAGAACATTCAGAAATGCTGAATTGTTATCACTCCTGCAATAAATATACTCTAAATAGTGAAGTCTGTTTATGTGCAAGTTATATTTCTCTGTTTTTGTTAACATCTGCAAAGTAATTTTAGAGGAATTTTCATTGGAGTCTTTTGTAATATTTTCCACCTAGAACTCTGTGACATTCTTTTTGTTATTAAAGTGGACGTAATCCTTACCTGTGGCTGCTTGCTGAGAAAATGTATAAACTTCTGTCATGTTGCTCTGTTGAGAGCAGAAGACAAATAATCACTCCCATTCCCTATGTATTTTGTTGACTCTGGCAGTTTCCTTCCGTAAATGTCTTAGGTATAGGTATACGTACTTAGAGTTTTGTTAATGCGGAATTAATTTTGATTGTATCTCTGAATTGTGACCTGGGGTTGAGAAATAAAGTCTCAAAGTGTAATACTCATAACAGACAACTTCAGCGTCATGCATAAGCATTTTGAAGACATTCATTGAAAGAGTTGCAGAGGGATTGGCAGTGACCAAAATATAGAATACATGAAGCCGTTTGACAAAAGTGATTTGGTGGATAAAATATAGAATTTTACCGGTAAAGAAAATAAACATTTCAGTGATTTCCGTGGGGATGGTGTGATTGTCTTATTTTAAAATATACAGAAACCTGTCTGATTTATTTTGGTGTATTTAGTTCCTGTGACGGAAACTTTAATACAATATTTTTAACATTTTGGGGTTTTGTTTCTCAAAGTTACCAAATGGTGTTACTTACCATGCTGGAACATATCAAGACAGACTGGGAAAGCTGCAGGAACATCTCCGTCAGCTATCGATACTCTTCAGAAAACTGAGACTAGTCTATGACAAATGCAATGAAAACTGTGCTGGGCTCGATCCTGTTCCTATAGAAGTGAGTACCGTTATTCATATATAAATTAACAAATCAGAATAATCACTCCCTGCTTAGCATATCATCCATTCTTGTGGGTTGTAGGAAACTCATAACAAGTTTTAAATAAGACTGGAATTGTTCAGTGGACTGAATACTGTTTGTTATTTGAAGCTGGTTGAAAGATTATGAACGTGAACATCAGCAATGCTTACAAATTGGAAGGGATACAGTTTTCAAATCAAATTTCTCTTAAAATGTTAACATTTTTCCTCAGACTTATTGGTACATTCATCAGTTTGTTTCCCCTAGGAAAAAGTCAAAAGAGTCAGGGCAATTTATTTTTTTAAAGAGCCTGTTATAGAGGGAAAAAGTCCACTTTAAGTTCACCTGCCAGCCTGGCTCCCTGAGCGATGAGCTTTATTCCCTCATTCTGGCCATCAGTCTGTGCCTCCATAGTTCCCTCACTCAGTTACTCTTAACCTGCTGAGCCAGTATGAGCCAAATCTGAATGTGCAGTTAGCAGCGTAAGACTTCAGGGAAGAAGATTGGCCGAAGTTTTTCCTAATGAAGATGCTACTCCTCGTAAAATCAAAATTTAATTTCCCCCCACTTAAGTTGTTTTTAATTCCTAGTAATGCTCTTAAATGCTGTTTTGCGTTAGGATTGGAGTTCTGCTTTATATTAACCAGAACTATGGTTAATTTCTTTATTTACTGATCTCTACATTTTGAGGCAACTCTTAACAGATTTCTGATTGTCCATTGAGTTTTAATCATTTAAGCATTATATTTTCTATTTGTGTCTCTTCACTGAATAAGAATAAAGAAATTAAGTCACACAGAATCACAGAACGTTAGGGATTGGAAGGGACCTCAAAAGATCATCTAGTCCAATCCCCCTGCCGGAGTAGGAACACCTAGATGAGGTTACACAGGAAGGCGTCCAGGCGGGTTTTGAATGTCTCCAGAGAAGGAGACTCCACAACCTCTCTGGGCAGCCTGTTCCAGTGCTCTGTCACCCTCACTGAGAAGAAGTTTCTTCTCAAATTTAAGTGGAACCTCCTGTGTTCCAGCTTGTCCTTTCTGTACAGCTCATTCTAGACTACTCATCTACTTCTGTCAGCGGTCACTGCCATGTGTTTCAGAGAAAGGTATTCAGAAACCTTACAGCAAGGAAGGGAGTAAAGTAACTTTCCTGTTTTAAAAAAATACAACCTTTTTCATGATTTGTTGACTTGTGTGCAATAGTGAATGAGAGTGATGCACTGTTCTTCTGGGATAAGTTTTTTAAAAGTCTTATTTCAGCTTTTCACTAATAGTCTCAGTCATATTATTTTATGACTGACACTCCAACCGTATCTTAAAAGAATATCAACAAATCTTTTCTGAGTCAAGAGAAGTTAGTACCTACTAATGTTCCTTAGTCTGTTACTGTTGATATAAATGGTTGGGGTTTTATTAATGTCTACTACCAGTGTAATAGGCATTCTTATCAAGTTTCTGTTAACCAACATAGCAAGGCATGAGATAAGTGTGAAGCAGATATGGCTACAAAGTTCTCTCATTGATTAAATTTCCTATTTCATTTGTCTGTTGGGTGTAGTTCTTTGTGTTTCTTTGTGTGTGTGTTTGGGTTTTTTTTCTACTAGCTTTTCTAAAACATGGGAGGTTTTAAAAGGAAATGTTCTATTTGAGCGGTGCATTAATTTTCCATCAGAGAGAAAAGGAGGGTTTTTTCTAAGATTATTTAGCAGTCACACTAATTCTTTATGGTATACAAGTGTAGTAAGTTGTTAACCTTTCCTATGTTTTCATGGCAGAGTTTAGTGTGGTAGTTTTTGTCCATTTTGACAAGCTTAGTAAGAGTGGCCTACAAACGTTTTCGTATATAAGGAAACTAAATATTCAGTGGGTTAAATCAAAGTAAGTTTTTCATCAGAATGC